ATTTAAAATGGATAAATGTCGTATAAAAATGTTACTATGTTCATGTTTAGTTGACCTGATACAAATGTTTATCATCTAAAAATAGCTGGGGGCACAGGTCTCTACTGTTATTTTGTGGGTCAAAAGCTGAAAAGTTTGGGAACCAGTGCACTTTGGTAATAAAATAGGGTAATGAAGGGTAATAAAATAATTGCTGATGTAATATTTTCCCTATAACTATTACAAAAACACAAAACAATTATAAATAAGTATTTATATTTGTGTATAAGCTGTTTAGATTGTCAAAAAGCCTGTGTTTTTAGGGTTATTAACGAAGTTCGTGTACTCAGACCAGTAATATTTGGGGTCACAAGTTTTTGCCATGAATATTTTGTGGGTCAGAAGATAAAAAGTCTGGGAACCACTGATTTAGAGGACTTCAAATGACGATTGTGGTAAAAACTGCAAAACTAAAAACTAAACCCTGCACTCTGCATTCTACAGAAAAAAGTATTTATTTTCATTAAAACACAGAAAGACAAAAAAAATACGGCAAATATGGTTTTACTGCCATTTCAGCTTCTTCTGGATTTCTACTAATGTGCGCTTGATTCACAAAAACAGTTTAGCTGCCAGTTTCCTTTTACTGTTTCGTCTCCAAACAGCATGGCAAAAGCAGCAAAACCTACTTTGAAACAAGATGCTTTAAAACAAGTGACTTGACAAAGATGTTCCTTTTATACCACTGAGACGTCTCCTGCTCTCTGGGATCAATGGATGAGAAAAGGCGACATGAACCAAAAAAAAAAAACATATGGACATGAACAACAGTACGCAAACAAAAGCAGAACAACACGAACAAAACTCTGGCAGCTCATCAAAGCACGTGCTCGGAGCGTCGCCGTTATAAATTATGCTCAAGGTTCTATTGTTGGCTTTCGCCTCCTTCCTCTCCTCAGATCACGGTGAGATTTAAAGAGTCGGTAGGCGGAAGGAGCTACGGGCTGTCGCTTTCTTTCTGCCTCCTCTTACCTCCTCGCTGGTGTGTCTGGCTTTTGGAGCATGCTCAGTTAGTTTTATCTCCCCTCCTGGCAGTCCCCCCACCCCTCTCCTACCCCCCACCTCCTCCACACAGCTCCTACAAATACGCAGCAATAAAACATGCTAATGTATGCCAGTCTAAACACAAGCCCAGCTCGTGCCAGCACCTTGCGCTCAGCGTTTCGGCCATTTGAGCCAACAAATCTGCATCTGAGTGGAGACATGCTGTCCTTACAGCAGAGGCAGCCCATTAACACCTCTGCAGCTGACACTTGGTGTATTACCAAGAAATTGATAACTAAGTGGACTGAAGTATGTCTCACATTAAGGCAAGTAGTTCTCAAACTGGGTTGGGGGGGCCCCCCTGAGGGGGCACCGCATCGCTCAACTGATGTTTATATATATATATATATTTTTCAAACAAAACCACACATTTTTT